GTTATGGAGTGGGCAGCCCAATCCATGGATCTTAATCCAATAGAAAACTTGTGGGGTGACATCAAAAATGTAGTTTCTGAGGCAAAACCAAGAAATAGAGAAGAACTGTGGAATGTAGTCCAATCATCCTGGGCTGGAATACCTGTTCACAGGTGCCAGAAGTTGGTTGACTCCATGCAACACAGATGTACAGCAGTTCTCAGAAACAGTGCTTATACAACTAAATATTAAGTGATTCAAAGGAAAGCAAAATCTTCAAACATTTTCAGTTTATATAGTGAATGTTTGAGTTTGTAAAAGAAGAATACAAACACTGCAATTTTTTTGAACAGTCTAATATTCACTTTTCTTCAATTGTTTTTAGAGGAACAACACAAATTTGATATATTTTTCTTCATGTTTTGATTTGGAATAGAATGTGTAGTGTTCCCAATGCATTTGTGTGTATGGAAATAAAAGCTATTAGAACGATTTTGAGCTTTATTCACTTTTTTTCAACACACTGCTATTATTTTGAACACAACTGTATATACAGTGGGTATAGAAAAGTATCACCCTTCAGCCTCTTGGCTGACATGATGGTTTTATATCTTTCACTTGGGTGTTCTACGTTGCACTGAGTAAATGCAGCTGGATAAAACAAAAACTGTGTCTGTGTCTGTCTTCATTTCAGGCTGCAAAGCAACAAAATGTGATTATTTTAAAGCGTTGGGGGGTGATTCTTTTCTACACCCCCTGTATATACCATAACCTTTTTATAAATTTTTCATTTACGTTTTACTGTTGTTATTGGTTGCAAATTCCATGACAATTGCAATTTATGTTTATGGCTTTTCCTTTGCACCAAAAGGGAAGAAAGTTTGATTACAAAAAAAGGAAAGAAAAAGTGAAAGAAACTTTGCCTTCAAACCACAGACATTCTGGTGAAGCAAATTGCATAATTTGTCAGCTGTGTGAAGGTTTTGTTCACAAATGCAGAACACAAAGTAGCTACTTAGGCAAACTCGACAGAACAAGGTACAACGTGAACTCAGCTAGTGGGGTCTGAAGTCAACTGTGTAGTCCTTTGGCTATAGATAAAAAAGCGTTCTGTTCATAGGGGCAACAGAGACTTTTTTTTAATTTTTTTTTTCTTCCAGACACATGCAATAAGTATTTCAGATATTTGTAAAAGTGCCTATATACCATACAACACAGCAGTGATTTGGGATTGGGACTTTGCAGGCATGCAACTGTGTGTATAGGATTATAACTATTTTTTTAAACGGTTGAACTGAAAGGACTTTTGTCTTTTTTCAGCCAGACTAACTATGTCAACTATTAGATTATACGTAAAATGCAAATTTTTATTTCTCACATGATACAAAAAACATTAAAATTATACAAAGCTATTAAAACATCTAGTGATCACAATACAACTTGACTTCTAACTGCTGCGTTTTGAGCTATTCTCTTCTTTAAGGGAAATGAGACAAAACCCAATGGATCCAATGGCATACAACTGACAAAAAATACATCACACTTGATGGGCGCACCACCATCACTCCCCATTGGGACCTGGAACATCTCACTCAGCAAAGTCCACAGATGCCAGTCTTAATATACTAAGAATGTTGGAACACAGATCGTCCTACTCAGAAAACTCTATGGGGGCCCAAGGTGGAATATACAGCAAGCTATGTCTAGGACCAGGGTTGCCCTCTCCAAAGGAAACTAGGAGCCCAAATAGCGTGTTATAGAAGAGTTAGACTTCAAGAAAGTGCTCCTGACAGATGAGAGCATGTGGGCTAACCTTCCCCAGGTGGGCACAGTAAGGGTTAGAAAGTGCCTATAGACTATCCCACCACCTATTCTACAACCTAGTGCAATGTCAGGACTGGGTCATTTAAGGCTAGGTAATGAGTATTTGATATCTTCATGTCAAACTCTATGCTAACGTTTTTTAAAGGAAATGTCCCCCAGTTTGTTTAAAAAAAAAAAAAAAAGCAGCTCAGGGTGCAATACTTACCTTAAATCCAAAGATGTCACCGTAGTACCATTTTGTATCCACGAGGTCCTCGGCCCTCCAGGTTGAAAGACACCCAGAGTCGCTCAACTCAGAAGACGGAGGACATGTTGTGAGTGCAGGGCATTACCACCGCCTTGTGCTATGGTGCAGATTTCCCTACCCGGACATCATCTTTAGCTCCTGAGCACGGCCACTGCTCTTCCTCAGATAGACGCACCTTAAAAATCTGAACGAAGAAGAAGATTGCAACACCTGAAGAATTTTCCCCATAATGTTTGTGAGGAATAGACACATAAGCTGATTTCCCATTTGCATCTGACATTCCCCCTTCACTCTGCGATGTTTGAAACCTCAGCAGGGGGTGTAAATCTGCTGGAGATCCACACAATTGTGCCCTCCTGAGCAGTGGTCCAGACCTCCAGAATGCTGCTGACACAGAAAATTTTTACAATAGCTGTGAAAATGTGAAATAGACTCCCACAAGAGTTGGTTCTGGCCAGCTCAGTGATTGCTTTAAAAAAGTCCTGGATTCTTTCTTGGATACACAGAATATAACTGGATACTAACATTTACACCCCGGTCACATCAAACCCTTACGGTTAAGTTGCACGATTATAAAGTCAGATGTCATATGCTGATTTGAGGTACGATTTGGAAGACCTCAAACACTGATGTCTATGCAAACCATACCAAAAGTAGTGCATGTACTGCTTTAGAAATAGGGGCAGCTCCGACCAAGTTGGAACTGCACCGATATGACCGCTCTAATTGCGGAAAATAGGGTGAGACTTGGCATGCGATTTGTAAGTCGCATGGCAAGTAAATTGCATGCAAATTCACATGCAGAGTGACCAGTGACTTTTATAGGTAAAGTTGATCCAGGGAATATCCGATTGCCTCTCGGGGAACCGGGAAGGAATTTTTCCCCAGCAGGAGCAAATTGGATCATGCTTTGCTGGGTTTTTTGCCTTCCTCTGGATCAACTGTGGGTATAGGATTATAACTTTTTATGGTTGAACTGGATGAACTTTTTGTCTTTTTTCAGCCAAAATTACTATGTAGCTGCATTACACTAGTACATCAAAAAAATTTTTTTATAAAACCACTGACACAGCCTTTACTGTTTATGCAGACTATTATTACAGTAATAATAATGAAGTTCAAAAAGTTTAAATGGGCTTCAAAACATTGTCTTTTATTTAACTAAATGGTTCCTCCTGACTATAAAAGGATTATAATAATTTATGTAAGCTAAATTGACTTTGTGTGACCGTCTTGCTACAGCTGGTACAGTGCCATGCTATGTCGTGGCCTTGCCCAGTATGTCATTTAAAGGGAACCTTACAGGGCAGATCTAGACGTAGCCTTGTTTTTGAAGGTGCAGTCTACAGGGCCTTATGGATCATTTCTCTGGTTGGATTTTGTACATGATGACAGATGTTACTAAATGTTTGGTGCAGGGGAACGATGAAATTTAACAAAACACCATTTCTAGAGTATCATCCAGTACATATAACTCTACAGAACATCCCTGTCTGTACCACTGTGAGCAGTAGCTAATCATATGGCAGGCAAAAAGTGGCAGTTGGTAAGTTGCTATGAACTCAGCACCAGCTCATGAAAAGACCTCCTTACGTATGATAATTGATGGTAAGAGTTCTCATTATCTCCTGCAGTTGGCAGTTTATGAGGGAATCTGTAGCCTAAGTTTAAAATGCTGTTAATGAGAGGTTGCCATGTCTTACATCTGACAGATTTTGGAACGCCCTATTCTATGTGACAGTTGAGCTTGAGAGATCCTCTAATCTCTCGTGGGCCGCAGTTGGAGGGCCCTTATTTCCTGTTATGAATGACTGTTCATGAGTGATCCCAATTCATGGGATGGTTGCTTGTGAGAGATTCACCTGTCAAAAATGGCCAATGATGTAGTTCAGGGGTCTCCAAACAAAGGTCCAGTTTACTGTCTTTAAGACTTGGGGGGTAGAAAATGCCCAGGCATCAGCAGGAGCAAACAATGCCCTATCATTATTTTTAATGGGAGGAACTGTGCCCCATTGTTGGTATATGTGGGAATAATTGTGCCCCATTGTTGATGTCAGTGGGAGGAATGGTAGCCCATCATTGCTGTCAGTGGGAGGAATGGTGCCCCACCACTCGTGTCAGTGGGAGGAATGGTGCCCTTGTCCAGGGGCGGACTGACCATTTGGAAACTGGGGCACTGCCCGGGGTCACTAGGGGGCCCCATGAGATGCCCCTAGTACCTTTTTCATAGGCTTTTTTTGAGTTTGGGCAAGGACACGGGCCCCATGAACCCCTATTGCCCGGGGGCCCCATGAGTTGTCAGTCCGCCCCTGCCCCCGTCATTGGTTTTAGTGGATGGAATAGTACCTCAAGGGTCCGATAAAGGCCAGCACAAGGCAACATGCAGCCCCCAAGCAGCAGTGTGGAGACCACTGCTGTAGTCTAATACAAGTGACAGCTAATTAGAGCGCTCTTGTTCTACTTTATAGGTGACCATTCATGAGGGCTTTCTTATCTTTGGACAGCTGATATAATATTCCCACTTTTTTTTTACAAGTAACAGTTAATGGGAGATCCAGTAACTTATTCAATGTAGCAGTTTAAAGGTAGAGCCATTATACATGGAAGTTAATGGTGGGAGATTGCATGTCCTTTCTCATCATGAAGTTCATGAGAAACCGTTTGAGGTCCAGAGATTCCTATATCTCTTCTAGATGGAATTTGAACTGATATCTCATAACAAGTGTCAGTTCACGAGAGATTTAATTTATATATGGTAATTTATGGTGAGCAATCCCATTCCCCTAAAAGTGGTAGTTGATGAGAGACTCGGGAAGCCATTACAAGTGGCAGTTGATGGAATATTCTCTTACACAATCAGTTTGTTTTACTTTTTGCCACAGACCAACAGATTTGTATGGTAAAATGTGATTTGAGAGAATGGCTTATGTTTTTTTCATTTTTATTTTATAGGAAGATGCGAAAAAACCGGAGAAAGCGCATGCAGAGACGGTGAGCAAAGGCTAAATTTTATTTTCTTAGCCTTCCTTCCTTTGCATTATAATGGAGATCCTTTTTATACAGGCCCTATGTGCTAGAAATGTATCTCTGCTTTGAACTTTTTTCTTCACCTTCTCTTTATCTCTTAACTGTTCACCACCTCTCCCTCAATATATGCAATTTTCATCCCACAGGCAGAGCTTTGTTATGGTTAAAGGAGCTGCCCTTCTACTCCAAGATGAGGGTGAGCCAGAAGAGGATAAAGAACCAGAACCCTCACAGACTGCAGGCCCTAGTGAACAGCAGCTTCACTTACAAGCGATGCTGAGACTTCTTCGGGAGGAAGACACTTTAAAATTGGTGAGACGTTTTCTCTTCCTGCTTTCCATACTATTTCAAAGGATGCCAAGAACAAGGTTTCTATTGCCACATTTGATGAAGTTGCTCAGTCACTGACCTTTTTTGGGATACCCAAATCTAGAAAGAAATTGGCACCATTCCTTTAAACTGCAACTGGATAGACCAGGGTTTCTCAGTGTTGTATGGAGCCCTAGGGTTCCTCCAGAGCATGCTAGGGGTTCCTTGAGCAATTTTTGCCTCTCAGATGAGCTTGCACTAACACCATTGATCTTTTTAGCTATCTGTAAGGACCATTCTTCCCACCGACTGTCACACTAATGTATCATGCGTCATAGATACAGTCATTTTTGGCAGGGGTTTCCTGAGACCTGAAAGTTATTTCAAGGGTTCCTCTATGCTGAAAAGCCTGAGAGGCTGGGATAGAAAAAAAAAAAAACTAAACTCCCTAGAAACACTGTTCATATTAAACTTAAAAACATCTATGCTTACAAATGTATCCTTGGCACACTTACATGTGACTTACCAAAATCTAAAGTGGTATTAAAAGTTCAGAAAAAAAAAAATGTCATACTTTCCCTGTGCAAGGGTTTTGCACAGAGCTGCTCTGATCCTCTTCTTCTCGGGTCCCCTGCCGGATCCTGGCTCCTCCCCCTTGACCAGTGCCCCCAATAGAGTGCGTGTTTGCTGTTGAGCCTGACTCCATGCATTCATAAGACAGAGCTGAGACTTTGCCCCGCCCTCCATTCTCTCCTCATTGGCTAACTGGCTGCGATTGACAGTAGTGGGTGCCAATGGCTCAATGCGGTCTCAGCCAATGAGGGAGAGAGAGTCCTGGTACAGCTGAGGCTCTCGTGCACATCGCTGGATCAAGAGGATGCTCGCGTGAGTATTAGAGGAGGCTTTTTGAGGGAGCAATACACAGAAGGTTTTTAATGCATGAAGGTAAAAAACCACCTGCCTTTACAACTGCTTTTAAAGGTATCCGGCTTCCCTGGATGAAATAAAATGACCAACTTGCCTAAACAACCAATACTTAAAATATAACTAAAGTTTTAAAAGGAGAATTTATCAGTGTTCCCTGGAATATACTTATACTCAGCTTGATGTGTTTTCCATCCAGGGGAAAAAAGTGAGATGACATCTACCTGATGAAGGCACACATATACAGCAGTGAAAACCTGCAGTTCTGAACCTTCTCCCAAAAGATTTTGCATGGTTTCCCACTTTAAGCAGTAATCTACTGATAATTTATTTAACCAACAAGTTTCCAATAAAAGTTATATACATTCAACATATTTTATGAATTTTATTTACCTGTAAAAGCTTCCCTTGTGTAGACATCCAAAAGCCCCGAGACTGCTGCCGAGTGCTAGCATCTTGTATGTGATGTCAGCAGCCTCTGAGTTGTCACTTAAATGATGCTCTATAGCAGGGGACTCCAAACTATTGCCCTCCAGCTGTTGAAGTACTAAAAGTCCCATCATACCTCCTGCCTCTGGGAGTCTTGCCTGTGGCTGTTAGTCTTGCAAGGCCTCATGGGACTTGCAGTTCCTCAACACCTGGAGGGCCATAGTTTGGAGACCCCTGCTCTATAGTATTCCTACCCCAAGAGCTACTAAAAGGAGTTTAGGTAGGAAGGTGAAGGGAGGGGTAGAGGAGCTAGGCCAAAGTAGGAAAGGACTATAATGGAGTGCAGGTAACTGTTCTAGAACAGAATTCCTGGAATGGTTGAATTCACCTAGCAAGTTCAAAGGCACATTGCTAGTGAATTAAAATTGGTTGATGAAAAGCAAAGACTCATTAAAAATATGTAATTTTTATTGCGCTTTTACCTGTAATTTTTTTTTAAGTTGGTGACCGTGTCCCTTTTAAGAATGAGCACACTAAATGCAAAATATCCTTTAGAATTTTATGTTCAAGTTAACAACTTGAGATGTGCTTGGTATCTTTCCACCTCAGGCTGTCCGCTTGGAGCCTGTCCGGTCCTGTCTAACCAGATATCTGTTGGTGGTTTCCTCTGTGGGAAGAGCCAATGAGGAACAGACCATTCTGCTGGGTGTCGACTTTCCCCACAATGGGTAAGACTTTAATGACACAAAAAAAAAACACTTTATTATGAGACACTGCAGTTGTACAAGAATCAAAGTAAACTCAGAATCATGTGTTTTTCTGTTCTCTTCGATTTAGTTTCACTTTGTTACTGGGGTCTGACTTCCATGACTTCTATGACTAAGCCTTTCCAAATGGCCATTCCAGGGTCCAAAAAAAATGCTTTGGTGGCACTCACTGGAAAGTAGAATGGCGGAGACTTAGCCATCAAATCAGGGAAAATTATGCCCCAGCTGGCCAGTGCACAGCAATAATCACTGAAAGACTCAGATTCTGGACTGAGGGAAGTATGACGGGGGTAGCTTAGGTCAGGGAAGGGGGCAAAAAAGATAAGTGTACTGTTTTCCTTAAAATTTAAAGTGATTGTAATCCCCTGACATGAAATATGAACAAAGCATATCCCTATATAGTTGGAAAGAAATGTTATTTCTCTCTGCTGCCTCATTCCTCTGTCTGCATGACTCACTTCTGACAAGTTTTCCTGACACCAAGAACAAAAGGGTGATGGGGAGGAAGCTCCAGCACAGAGCCTGTGATTGACAGCCTCAGCTTTGTTGCTGTGGGGAGGGGGCGTCCCTTCCCTTCAATCAGCTCTCCCTACTGAACTTTGCAGAGTGTAACATCAGCTCCCCACCCCCTGCTTTCTGAACGTTCACACAAGCTGTATAAATTCTGCACTTTGAACAGCTTTAGAGAAGAGCACTGCAGGTAAACAGGCAGAACTTACTGTATGTAGGTGGATTTGTTTCATCTCTGTGTATCCTCTGAGGCTAATCACGTCACTGGGTATATGTAAGGGTTTACATCCACTTTAAGTCAAGGTTACTTTAAGCATTCACAATTGCCCCAGGCAAGTGTTTATCTGTATATCCTGGGTAGGCAATCCAGGCCACAACCATATCTAAGATGAACTATAGTGCCTGATCCAGAACAGTTTCCCCTGAGATTGCGATGTACCTGAACAGGTCAGGCAGAGCCATTAGACATACTATGGTACTCTGTTCAAGTGTAAAAGGCCACAATGGGCAATGATTCTCTCTTAGCACACTTACCTAGCAGTATATTATGAACAAGAGAACACGTGTTTTCACTGATCTACTGGATATGGTAAATAAATATAGCTTTTTATTAAAATGGATTTGCAGATATGGCAGACTGACCTATTTGTGTTCTGTGATGTGTTGATTCTGATCATAATAGTATGCCAATGACAAGTTATTACTAACTAACCTTCTTCACTTTCATAGGTCCAATGGCTGCACAATTGGCAATGTTGTGCCAATATGGAGTAATACACAGGTCTTCATAGATGGAGATGGGTAAGTTGTGTTATGTAAATCTGTCAGTCAATAACTTTTTGGCTATGGATATCTAATCCCTTCCAATGTTTCTTTAGTGGATTCAGCGTTACAATCGGGATGGATGTCCGATCATTTAAGCCTATATCTGTTCAAACAATGTGGTAAGTTAAAAATTAGTTTGCCTATTGAATATTTATGCTATTCTTCCTATATAGTAGTCTAGTACATTGGCTATTCCGACACATGATTTGTCACAGTGCAATCTGTGGATAGCTCTGTCAATAGAATGTAAAGCCCATTTAAAACAAAAGGTGTGGAAAGTCTTAGTTTGTTTTCCTTATAAAGCAGCCACAGCCTGAGTAGAAAAGCCTGTCTTCTGCCAATATGCTGCAGAGAAGGACCCTTGTTCTCTGTGTGGTCTGACTTGAGGTCTGATACACCCCTGCTGAGTTAGAGCTAAAGCTATCCAAACAGCAAAACCTAAGCTCCCTGCTGATTGGGGAACTTTAGCTCTGACTCAGGGGGTGTCAGACATCTGCAAAAAGATCACTGTTTGTACACAATGAGCAAGTACTCCTCTCTGCAGTATGCTGGCATGGGACAGGCTTTTCTGGTCAGCTGTGCCTGTTTTAAGAAGAGACATTTGCACACCTTTTTATTTTTTCACCTGGCAAGTATATTGCTAATTTAACCACTTGCCCTCCTGAGGATTTACCCCCCCCCCCTTCCTGATAGACCGTTTTTTACATTACGGTGTTGCGTTACTGTAAATGACAATTGCGCGGTCATGCAACACCACACCCAGATGAAATTTACGTCCTTATTTCCCACGAATTGAGCTTTATTTCGGTGGTATTTGATCGCCTGTGTGGTGTTTTTTGTTTTGGTTTTTTTTTTTTTTTTTTTTGGTTTTTTTTTTTGTTTGGTTTTTTTCCGCTATAAACAAAAAAAAGGCTGACAATTTTGAGACAGAAGGGTTTTTTTTTTTTACTTTTTTGCTATTAAACGTCCAGTAAAAAAGTTTTAAAAATCAAATTTCATCATAAATTTAGGCCAAAATGTATTCTGCTACATCTTTGCTAAAAAAAAAAAATCCCAATACGTGTAAATTGATTTACATGAAAGTTATAGTGTTTACAAATGGCAGTATAGATACTGGAATTTTTTTTTGTCTTCTTCCTACTAGTAATGGCGGCCAATTTACTTAACCACTTGCTTACCAGGCACTTATACCCCCTTATTTACCAGGCCAATTTTCAGCTTTCAGCGCTGCCGCACTTTGATTGACAATTGCGCGGTCATGCAACATTGTACCCATATGAAATTTTGATCATTTTTTTTCTCACAAATAGAGCTTTCTTTTGGTGGTATTTAATCGCTACTGGGCGCTTTACTTTTTGCGCTAAAAATAAAAAAAGTAAAAAATTTGAAAAAAAAAAAAGTTTCTTTGTTTCTATTATAAAATTTTTCAAACAGGTATTTTTTCTCCTTCACTGATGTGCGTTGATGAGGCGGCACTGATGGGCATTGATAGGCGGCACTGATGGGCACTGATAGGCAGCACTAAAGGGCACTGATAGGCAGTACTAATGAGGTGGCACGAATAGGCGGCACTGATAGACAGCACCAATGAGGCGTCACGGATAGGCGGCACTAATATGCGGCACTGATATGCGGCACTGATAGGTGACACTGATGATGGGTACTGATAGACGGCACTGACTGGCATCACTGCTGGGCACTGACTGGCGGCACTGACTGGCACAACCCCTGGGCACTGACTGGTGGCACTGACTGGCAGCACTGCTGGGCTGCACTGGTGGGTGGCACTGTGGGCTGCACTGGTGGGTGGCACTGGTGGGCTGCACTGGTGGGTGGCACAGGTGGGTGGCACTGCTGGGCACAGGTGGGTGGCACTGCTGGGCACAGGTGGGTGGCACTGCTGGGCACAGGTGGGTGGCACTGCTGGGCACAGGTGGGTGGCACTGCTGGGCACAGGTAAGTGGCACTTCTGGGCACAGGTGGGTGCACTGCAGAGTGGCACAGGTGCGTGCACTGCTGGGCACAGGTGGGTGCACTGCTGGGCACAGGTGGGCGGAGCTAGTGGGCGCACTGCTTGGCACAGGTGGGCGGAACTTGCGGGCGGCACTGCTGGGCACCGATCATCAGGGCACTGATGATCAGTGCCCTGATGATCGGTGCCGATCCCCGCTCTGACAACTGCCGGTTCTCGGCAGTACTTTCCTCACGATCTGACAGCGTGAGGAAAGTGCAGCCGAGAACCGGCACTTGCATTTCCCTCTGATCAGCGTGTCATTGGACACCGCTGATCACGTGGTAAAAGGCCGCTGTGATTGGCCTTTTACCACATCACGTGATCAGCTGTGTCCGTAGGACACAGCGATCACGGAAATCGCCGGGTGCGCGCCCCCTGGGGCGTGCAGGAGAGCGCGTTCTGGGAGGACGTCATATGACGTCCACCCAGAACTGGCCGGCCGCACTGCAGCCGTCATTCGGCTATCTGCGGTCGGCTACTAGTTAAAAAAAAAAAAAAAAAACTGTTCGTGCAAAGGATCAGGGGAGGGATAATGTATTTGTGTGAAGACCCCCTTAAGCGTTAACTTGAAGTGTAACTATGGCCAAAATTTAAAAAAAATAATATATATACAGTGGGGCAAAAAAGTATTTAGTCAGCCACCAATTGTGCAAGTTCTCCCAAGTTGTTTTTCAACTCCCTTTGACTGACCAAGCTGTTCAGCAAAGGTGGCTGAAACAGACCTTTTAAAGTGGAAGAAAAATTGAAAAAATTGCAAACAGGAGGGCTTTTTCTGACAAACGACGACATGCATTGTCTCTAATGCAATAAAATAACTTACCTGCCTGTTTCGCAATCCCCTGTGAAACGTACACTGATATGTGCATGTGCAGCTCAGTTTATATTCCTGTTCACTGCCTGTGTGCTGGGATGACTACCCTCCTGCGCATATGCAGGAGTGACCTCATCCCACAATGGCCAATCAAGGTGGCTGAAGAGCAGCACCTGGAAAAAGTTTGGGGAGAAGATGCCACCTGTGAGAGATCTCCATGACCATTGAAACGAAGATAACTATTTTTACTTTTTAGTTCCGCTTTATCACTGGCAGGGGTGCATACAATAGTCAGCTTTTATTAATTTACAAAAATTATCCCAATATTAAAAAAAAAAAACAAATAGAAGTTCACTATTAAGGTGTACATACACGTTATATTGTAGTTACATGCTTTAATGTGTTTTGATTGCAGGTCCCTACTTCAGATGCTCCACAAAGCCTGCGAAGCTGCAGAGTCTTATAACTATATCCCAGGCAACAGTGTCCATTCTGGGCTGGCATATTACCAGGACCATCGTCGCTCACCCCAGGGCTGTATTAACGCTTGGATGGCCACAACAGACTTAACGTCTATCTGCAGAGATGCCACCACACAAGAAAGGTCAGAGAAAATTGGCAAAAATCAGAGTATAAGGAGACTATTTAAGTAAACCCATTGAAAAATCAACCCTTCTTCCTACCCTAACTGCCCTGCACTATTAGAAGAATACAAAAACAAAAAAAACAAACCTGTCTTTTCTATGTCTGTCATAAGGAACAGCACAGGGCTCCCAAGGCAGTCAGTCACGTGACAAGATTAGCCAGTTGCCCAGTGCCACATGATCTTATCTAAACTAGGGGGATCAGAGTTCAAGCACTAAACTCTGCATCAGTGTCATTCCCCTAATGCTCTTTGTAGTGCAGAAGCTGATAAACACATAGAGTTTTTGCTAGAGAACAGTATTTCAAGCAACAGACAGTATGGATTCTTGAAAGACTCAAGCTGTCAAACAAATCTGATTTCTTTTTATGAGCAAGTAAAGGAAGCAAAAAACGTAGACGAAGGAGTGGCTGTTGATATAGTATACTTGGATTTTGCAAAAGCGTTTGACACAGTTCGCCACACACGGCTAATGTGTAAGGTAAAGTCTACAGGCTTGGAAAATCTGTATGTAAATGGATAGAAAACTGGCTAAAAGATTGTATTCAGAGAGTAGTGGTTAATGATTCATACTCTGAATGGTCTGGGGGTGTCAGTGGTGTACCCCAAGGTTCAGTGTTGGGACCCTTATCTATTTATTAAGGATTTAGAATTTGGTATTAAAAGTACCATTTCTGGGCTAGGGGTGGTGGAGGAGGTTGGTTTCAGTTCAGTGGGCAGCATTCAGAAACTTTCTATTTTTTATCTTTTCATCTGCTCTTGTTCCTTCTCCTTCCTTCCTCATCTTTACTACTTTCCTTTTTTTCTTTTTTGGTGTATGCACTTTCTCTCATCTCTTCTTTGTTTCCAAGTGTTATTAAAGGTGCTGTTACGTAATCTGATTTCACCCTCTAGATTGTTTTCTCACGAATACGTAAGCTCTCAAACTGAAATGGATGCCATGGTCAATACTATAAGGGCCAGTTCACACTACAAAAATTTACTCCGGATGCATTCAGGATACGTTTTTGCTTACAGTTCACACCACACGCAGTTTGCCATGATCCAGTGTGGTTCTGTACAGAGAAAATTCAGCCTGCTCCTTTTTTTTTTTTCCTCTGCACTGGAAACTGCACTTGTGTGAACCAGAGCCATTGGAATACATGAAAGACACTGTGCATGCATTTTTGATGCAGAAAAAAAGCGCACTGAACTGCATCTAGTGTGAACTAGCTTTCAAAACCTTAAGCCATTCTATACATTAAGGCTCCTTCTATTCCATTGGCTTTATATTCCAATGTTTGTGTTTTATTCCTTGTCATTCCTACTAGACAGCTATTTATGCTTAAGGGATAGGTTCACCTTTTAAAAATAAAAGCACTATTAAAAATGTGCATTTATTATTTTTTTTATTTTGCCTGGAAAGCATTGTACCAGTGATCAGATCACTGGTGCCTTGCTAGACGGTGCCATGGTAGTTCACTGAGAACTACAGCCCCAAAGGATGTTGGTATTTTGTAGTCGATTTCATTCAAAATGCCCTGTGAATGAATGACGTGGCTGAGTGGGCGGAGCCCCGCACAGCCACACTCTTTTTTTTTTTTTTTTTTAAAGTGACAGCTGGTACAGGGTACAATGCGTTTTTGTGTATTGTATCAAGTTAGGCAACCAATTTAAAAATGAATAGGCTGTGACACTCAACACCAGAAACCTTTCTGTCCTGCTGCATATTTTCTGTATACCACAACGCACACCAAAGAGAACGTGGGAACAAAATAAAACCCATCATTGGTGTCAGTGGCCCTAATTAAAACCCTCAGCATTGGTGTCAGTTGTGCCAATAATACCCCTTGCATTGGTGTCAGTGGTTGCAATTATAATCCCCAGGTTTGGTGTCAGTGGCCACAGCGATTAACTCCCACCACCGGTGTCCGTGGCCACAGCGATAACTCCCAGCACTGGTATCAGACAGATTATAACTTGTATGGTAAGCTTAACATGGGTGTTCTGTAGTTCACAGATGTAGACAGGGCAGAGCTGATAACACTACTTGATTTCTGTCAAGATTAATAGCGTTGGACTATTTTATTTTTGTAATGTTTTCAACCAGACATATACTTGCCAGTCAGGTTCTACTGAGAAATATTCAACACAAGCTCAGTATTACCTTTGGATAAGGGCCCATTTACACTTCAGCATTGCTGTAACACACTCCATAATGCATAGCAGTGCCATTGATTTTCAAAGCTCCCCCAGCATACCAATGTATGCTGCATCAGAGAAATATGGTGCATGTCCAATTTTCTGCCTGTTGTGTGTTAGCAGTCCAATCAAAACAGACCAGAAAGGTATGAATGGGTGCTAAATGTAACTGGCATTTCATGGGCAGGAGGCGGGGGGCAGATTTTACAGCTGTTATTTTGAAAAATATTATGCGTGCAGACCAAGATGTATTTTTGTCCTTTAATTTCAGAGAGGAGACTGAGAAGATCATCCGAAAAAAGCTGCGAGATATCTTGAGAGAAAGCGACCTTGAGAATATAACGTCTAAGCAGGTGAGTGGGGAAAAATACAAAAGACGGCAAATATACACTTGTACAATAACTTGTATGCCTATTTTCATACCTAAATTACTTTTACATTGGTTTTTAAATTAAAAAAATGGCTTTTATTTTTACTTATATTTACATTGTTTTAAAAATATCCTGCTGTATTTTTTTTTTTTTTTTATTACAAGCTGACAAATGGACAAAAATATATAGAAACCTTTTTATTTTTCTATACATTTTAGTGATTTCTTACTCTCTATCTCTCTCTATGCATTATAAGGCTGCGTTCAAATCTGAGTGTCGCGTTTTTGCTTGCATTTTTTGTACAGCATTTTTAAAGCGTTTGTTGAGCTTTGGCGGTTTTTTTTTTTTAATAGTCGATTAAAAAAAAATCTGTTTATCATTTTTGTATTTCAGTTTTTTTTTTAGCTTTTTCATCAGCTTTTCTTATTTTGCTTTTATTTTTTTAGCTTAGAGGTTAGGGCTGCAAGTTAAGGTTGGGGTGAGGGTTAATCTATGTATTTATTATGATTAATTTATTCAAAATAAATATACAAGGGGAGTTTAAGTCAAACCAGGACTTTTGTGTTTTTATATACTAAAGCACAAATTTCAAGGAGTGGAAACTACATTTATTTTTAGACATACTCCCCTGCTACATTTATACACATATCTCAGCATTTAACTAATGCTTGGAAAGCTTTGGCAAAGAAAGATTTGTCAGTACGTCTGAACCATCCAAGGACAGCCGGCTTCACTTCAATGCTGACCATAGAAACCCTCTTGTGCAATTTCACAATAGGCTATGCGTCGATCTATTTATTCCATGCACGCACTAACACTGTTGTCTGCCTTCTTGATTAATGGTCTCTGGACTGGCCTGCGACATGAGCACCGCCTATCAGTAATAGGACACACTTGCCACTTACTACTGCGTGTAGTAGCGCCACACTAGCATCCCTTTTTTATACCTTTTTAAAATTAAAGTCCCAGTTTGATTTGAACGCCGTTTGTAAATAATACATTTTATTTTATAATTTTATTTATTAATTTTTTTTGTTAGGGGTTTGGTTTACGGTTAGGGGTTCATTTATTTTGTGGTTAGGGGTTAACTTTATTTTATTTAACTTTTTGGTTAGGGGTTAATTCATTAATTTTATATATTAATGGATTTTTTTTGTTTGATTCTTATTTATTTTATTTAATATGTATTTATTCATTTATTATATTTAACTCTTGTGTTTGAGCAGAAAAACTCTTTAAGAAAAACAAAATGCATGAATTGCTCATTTCAATGGCGAAAAAAAAAAAACTTCAAAAACACACCATCTCCATTGAGAATGATTGATTGATTTTTTTTTTTTTTTCTCCCTGGGCGTTTTGGAGCTTCGACCTGCAAAACTCTCAGGTGTGAATGGGGCCTAAGTGATCACAAAGAGGAACAGTGCCTTCTGAAACCAGAACATTGATAGTGTTATGCATCAAAAATCACCTAATTAAAATAGATCCTCATTTTATGACATATTAAAAAAAAAAAAAAAAAAAAAAAATCAGAAAAACGTCACGTGAATCATAATCGAGTGTCAGCTCATACAGCAAAGTGTGCAATTTCGAATTACACACAGTACCTTTCTTTGACAAAATTTCAGTGATCTCAATGATTGGCTGTTGTTGTGGTCACAAGATTAGGGACAACATGTAATATTCCTAGCCTACAACTGCAGCAACAGTTATTGTTCTCACACTGTTAATGTTGATTTAGAGACTAGAATAGCCAAGGGGTCAAAGAATAACACTTTTAAAACACCTGAGCTTATTACATCCAGGCAAATCAAGCAAGCTGGCAAAAAACCCTTTTACTTCATCCTTCATTCTGCATCCATGGTGCACAGTTCTCTGCATAATGGGTTGTATCTAAGAAAGCATCATCTGGATCCACCTAGAGATACAGTGCTTGCCTCCTAATTAGCTCACAGCTGGCTGAAAGGTATTAGGGGAGCATGCATATGTAAAAAGATATCAGGGATGCTTTCTTTCATATACAACCTCCTCCCCTTGGGATATCTCTTTATGTATGTGCATCCAGACCTTTGAAAAATAAAAAAACCCAGAGGTGATTAAATACCACCAAAATAAAGCTCTATCTGTCACAAAAAAAATGATAAAAATGTAATGTGTACAGTGTTGCATGACCGTGCAATTGTCATTCAAAGTGTGACAGTGCTGAGAGCTGGAAATTGGCCTGGACAGGAAGGGGGTATAAGTGCCCTGTAGGCTAGTGGTTAAATATATTCCTTAAATAGCCACAAATAATATAAATCCACTTTGTGTGCAGGAAATACCTTTGTATTAATTACCTCTTAAAAAAAAAAAGTGATGAGAAGGCCTGTACCAGTCAACCTTTAGGCCTCATTCACATGGACATACTTAAAGCGGAGCTCCACCCAAAAGGGGAAGTTATGCTTTAAGAACTGGTCCCCTGTTCCCCATTAAGGATTGGCACCTTTTGGGCAATGGGTACCTGAAATTGACAGGTACATACTCCCACTTCCGCTGCGATAAGCGGAAGTTGTCCTCTGCTGCAGGCTGTCACAGCTGGGTGCCCACACTGAAGATGCCGACGCCAGGAACACAGGGTGGTCGGTGTGAGACTGGCTGTGGGGAAGACACTGTGGGATCGAGGGACAGGTAAGTGTCCGTTTTTTTTATAAGTCAGCAGTACAGTTTTTGTAGCTGCTGACTTTTATTTTGTTTATATTCACTGGAACTCTGCTTTAAAGTGTTATTAAACCCATGCCCCTGCATTCGCTATATCTGGTCTCCCCGGACCCTGCATTCGCTATATCTGGTCTTCCACAGTACATACAACATGGAAGTGCAATTAGTTTAGTAAATATAAACTGCTAAATACCTTTTTCTTAGCGGATAGAGCAGCCTTGTGACTTTTATCAGTATCTAGCAGAGTACTTGTTATAACTTGTAGGAGGAGATTTCATTCTCCTGTTGGAGGATGAAGGACCCCTAACCTCTGTCTGGACAGCGCTGATTGGCCCTGTGCTGATCACATACACTGTCCCAAGTAAAAAAAACTATCTCTAACAATACACCCCAAACTGAGCATGTGCAGCTTGCCCCCGAGCCCCTGTTCAATCAGGAGACACTGGAAGGGGAGAATCAGAGAAGACAGGATCAAACGTCCTTTTTACACAATGCAGAGGATTGACCCCTTAGGTTCCACAGTGAGTATAACAAGCATGCTTTACTGCATATACAGACTGATTTTACTGTTGTGGGTTTAGTAACACTTTAAGCACACGCCTGTGCGAGGACTGCATTTGCCCACATGGAGATGCACAGGTGTTCCCTGCTTTGCTGTGCTGGCACTCTCGTTGTTCATATCAGTTGGGGCACAATGGCTACATGGGCAGAGCCACTACTCCCAACTTGACAGCTGTGTAGGTGCTCGGCCCCAAACACAGACAGTTTGCATTCAGGGCAACACGGCTGTCAGATTGGAAACAGCGGCTGAGTACATACAGCTACTTGGCCAGATAGACCTACATGGGCTGCATGCGGGCAAACACAGCCCACGCAAGGGCATATGCTTAAAGCGGAGCGGCACCCAAAAGGGGAAGTTCCGATTTAATGCTTTGTCCCCCGCTCCCTGTTAAAGATTGGCACCTTTTAGGGGGGGGAGTTGTCCTCCCTCCACCCCCTGTAGTCTTCTGGGACACGTGACACGACTTAGAAGACTACAGGGCTATTCATTCACAAAGCGCAGCACTTCTCGTGCATGTGCAGTGGGCACCCAGCTGTGAAGCCGCAAACTGTCACAGCCGGATGCCCACACTAAACATGCCAGCGCCAGGGAGAGAAAACGGCTGGTGAAACCAGCGGTGGGGAGGACGCTGCTGGACCGAGGGACAGGTAAGTGCCTGTCTGTATTTTAAAAGTCAGCAGCTACGGTTTTTGTAGCTGCTGACATTTATTTATTTATTTTCAGCTGGAACTCCGCTTTAACTACGGCCATGTAAACAAGGCCTTAGGAGTGGAGAGAGCAGCAGTGCCTGTTCTTAATAATAGGAAGCTTGTGCACAATGGCAGAGTACAGGAGAAGTTTCATGGAAGATTACTGCACAGATCTGGAAAAAATACACAAATGACTCTTAAGTATGAATGAACATGCCTCTTGTATTTAGAAAATTAGGGTTGCAATGATACCATCTTTTATCGGAGAGTACAAGTACCGATTACTTCTGCTCAAGTAGTCACCGATATCTTTGCAGAGCGATATGAGCCCATACAAAATAAATGGGCTTAAATCACACTGCAAAAAAATAGCATATGGTGTGAACAGGAATGCGGTGCGACTCTTGTTGGAATTGTGTGTGGTTTCTCGCGCTGCTCCTGTGTGAACCCAGGCTGAAGTCACTATGACAAGCCTTGATTCCCACAGGAGTGGTGGGTGAAACTGTATGTGATTCGGACAGGAATTTCATTCTTGTTCTAATCTCATGCCATTCTTTGCAGTGTGATTTTAAACCCATTCATTTCGTATGGGCTCAAATCGGGCCACAAAAGAATATGAGCTGGGTATTGCAGCATTTTGAGCAAATGTTTTGGTATCGGTAATCGAACAGAATTTTTTAACTTTGAGTTCTGCTTTAACTGAAGGCTATATCGATATTGGGATTTTAAGTCGGCTGACACTGTAAGCATTAAAGCTAACCTATACTATGACACTTGCACTAGGTAATTATTTCTGACCGCTCCTGAAAATACTATTTAACCAAATATTTTCACTATTTTCTGGGTCTCTGACAAGTATTCAGTTCAGGCAAGTAACTATTTTCAGCACTGGCAGCCTGTGAATTTTTTTTTTCTCTCTGCAGGTTTGTGTGAGGCAAACCTTAATATTGTTTTTACTGGTATAAAGCTATTAAATAACCATTTAGGTTTTTCTTATTCTACACATTTATCATGATAAAGTGAAATCTGATGTAGCTGTATCCTCTCTTTTAGGTCCGGAATGCTCTAGAGCAGCACACTAATTGCAACCTGCAGCAGTACACAGAGTTCATTGACAATGAGATGATTATAATCTTGGCGCAAATGGACCGACCCTTCAGAGATCTTCCCCTACTTATACTTGGTATAGTCTGATTGACAGTTCTTCTTGCAAAAAAAATCACAATCTGGCTATCATTTTAAGTTGTAAAAATGAGATGATTGGTTGTTCTGGGTAGCATAGAGCACTTACAAGTTAGTCATTATACTAACTTGTTACATAAAAAACCCTGAAAAAGAACAGTGTATTTACTCGCCTTCCCTGCAGCCTGTTCCGCTGAACACCCTTGAAACTTGTTCGACTGAAGTCTGCTGGGAAGCCGACACTTCTGGAATGTAATGTTCTTTAGTCCCCCACTGTGCCCACTAGTACATCCTGCTGAGCCCACGAGTTACAAGATAGAGTGATGTCATGGAGGTGAGCAGCAGGAACCAGTGAGCGCTGCCGGAGATCCTGGAGCTCAACTCTCCTATGCCAGTTTTCCAGTGGGCTTCCTGGAACATTTACCAGCCACAGAGTGGTGTTTATTGACCATCCTTTAACTCTGGTCCTTGGTGGATTATAACAAGGTTGGGTCCTTTCACACGGGCGTTCGTTTTTTTTTCATCAGATCAGTCACGTTTTTTTTTTTTTATTTTTTCAAAGAAAACGTGGATCAGTTTACATCCATTTTTCATCAGTTTACATCTGTTTTTTACATCTGATTACGTCGGCTTACGTCCATTTTTTATCTGTTTACATCCGTTTTTCATCCATTCACATCTATTTTTAGTCCGTTCCATTTCTTTTTTTTTTTACGGCAGAACATTCAAAAGAACGAATGTTAACGGATGTAAACGGATTATCATCGGTTTGCATCCGCCAATCCATAGAAATACATGGGTGTCCGTTTTTTTATTCGTAAACGGAAACTACAGAATGCCCATGTGAAAGAGGCCGTATGTTTTCCAAATTTGCAGGTAGCAGGACAGCATTGTCAACTTTTCCTTCATCCACCTTTTTTACTTATTTTTTTTTCACAAAACAATAGTGCAGCATTAGGATAAATTAAAATGTAAGTGCAATACAATAGTGTAGTGCAAATATAACAAACTCTTGTGTCACCTCAAATTGAAAGAATAAAACAAAGGAATCCAAATGTGAAGAAAAACCTGTGAATTCAGTGGTTCTTTGATTATGAGAGAAATGACAAATGCGGATATCAAAAGCATCTTAATGATAAACCACACCGCAGCTCGGTGTACAATAGAGAAAGGCTTACCAGAATCCTATGACTCCCAATGAAGAGTGGTCAACCAGCACTTGTGTGTCAATACAAGATGCCCAGCTTTCCTCAAAACCACATGTCAAATGATGGTACTGCTGTGTTATATCAGATCGCTGTGCATATGTACTCAGATGGACACAGTATCATGAAAAAGAAAGACATGCTCTCATAGTGTAATCCTGATTTAAACAACTTTAATGTAATATATGCACTTACAATGAAAAGCTGATAACCAGGCACTTCATATCATATAAACAACTCATGTTCCAGAATCCAAGATGGCCGCAGCGGGATAACCTATTCGTAGTGGCATATGTCTCATCTCTGCCCTACTAGTTTCATCAAAGATGATGTCACCAGGAGCACAGGGATCCTGATGACCATGTGACCATAGTTTTAAGTGCTAAAATCATATTATATATATTTTTTTTTTTTTGTAGAGCAGGGGAAGGCTGGAAACTCCTATTAATTTTCTTTACTGCAGCACATGTTCAGGTTTTCCCCCACTTTCTCTCCGGTAAAACCATTGTCACCTGGACAAAAATGAAGGAAAAATCTAACAGAGCCTGAGATGGCAGTAGAAACCAGAAAAGATTTCTCATCAAATTGACCTTAAAGGATCAACTTTTGAAAAAAAAAGCATATGTTTTAGCAGGTAAAAGAAATGTGCATTTATTATTTCTTTTCCAAGGAGCCTACAGAGCATTGCACCTGCGATCAGCAGATCACGGATGCAATGTCAGGCTCCTGCAGACTTTCAGAATAGCTTTCTGCCTGTCCCTTCGGTATGGGCAAACAGTTACTTGAGAGCAAGAAGATCGATAAACTAAGAGAGCTCTCACCAGCATCCTTGTAGTTCACTGAGAACTACAAGCCATCAGCTGCAACATCTGATGGTACTTGTAGTCTATTCATTCACAGGAAACTGTGAATGAACGACGTGGCTGTGTGGGCCATGCTGTTGTCAAAATGTGACAGCAGGTGCGTTAGAAGATCCCCCGCTGGCTGTCACAAGGAGGCGGGGAGGGAACCTTTGGGAGAGGGGGTGGATGCTGAACATATTACATGTTACACCGTAAATTCAAAAAGGTGACCTTCTCCTTTTAAAAGAATTACACAAATGATTTTACCTGGGAACTTGCTTGTGTTGGTGACCGTACTTTGGAAACACATTCTAAAGCTCATGCTGTCGTCTTGGTTTTTTCAGGGTTCAGAATGGAATGCTTCAAATCTGGAAGAACTTCAGAAGAACAAGTAGGACCTGGCTGCTTGTTATACTGCAAATAATCAGCTCTCATGTACTGTATATATTATGCTGGGCTTTTAATACACAGGGCTGCTTTTTTCACTGAGAAATAAATGAGGTGCTCTGTACCAGATGCCGAAATGTAGACAGACTACCCAAAACCTATGCAATTTCACCTACAGGGGCGGACTGACAACTCATGGGGCCCCCGGGCAATAGGGGATCATTGGGCCCCTGTGTCCTCGCCCACTACCAAAAAAAGCCTATGAAAAAGCCAATAAAAGGTACCAGGGGCATCTCATGGGGCCTCCTACTGACCCCGAGCCCTCGGGCAGTGCCCGAGTGCTTGAATGGTCAGTCTGCCCCTGGTCACCTAGTATTTTCGTAAATGTGTCGGAGCCAGATTATAATAAGCCACATTCCTGTCTCTAGGCCCCAGTTTTATGTGTCTTTGTCTAGTGCACACAGCATTACTACCTCTTCTTTATATGCCCCTGTTCTTCCATACACTATTATTATAATTATTATGTATTATTATACAGAATTTATGTGAAACCAACAGTTTGTGCAATGCTTTCAAAAGAAAGAGACAGCATAGTTGAAGTACAATTCAAGACGAGGGTTGGGAGGACTTGTTCATGATGGCTTACAATCTAAGGCAGGGGTCTCCAAATTTTCTAAGCAGAGGGCCAGTTTAGTATACTTCAGACTATAGGGGGGCTGGACTGTGGCTGTTGGGAGTAGAATTTGTCCTGGCTTCAGTGGGAGGAATAGTGCCCCATCAATGGTGTCCGTGGGAGTAATAAAGCCCCATCAATGGTGTCAGTGGGATCAATAATGCCTCATCAATGGTTGCAGTGGGAGGAATGGTGCCCCATCAGTGGTTTCAGTGGGAGCTATGGTGCCCCATCAGTGGTTTCAGTGGGAGCTATGGTGCCCCTTCAGTGGTTGCAGTGGGAGGAATGGTGCCCCATTAATGGTTGCAGTGGGAAAAACGGTGCCCCTCGTTGGTGTCAATGCGAGGAATATTGCCTCGTTGTCTGTAGCAGGAATTATGCCCCATTGTTGGAGTCAGTGGGAGGAAAATTGCCCCAAGGGCGAACAAAGGCAAGTAAAGGACTGCATTTGGCCCCTGGGCCGCAGTTTGGAGACCACTGATCTAAAGGATCAAGAATAGGTTGATATGCCACCTAGACTGTTTTTGCTTTGAATTTGGAATCCTTGATTCCAGTCCAAAAATATCATCATTGTTCCAGTTGTTTCCATGTCCCTACTACTTACCTGTATTTTTTTTCTTCTTTATATTTATCACATTCTTCTATCCGTATCCCCTTATGAGTTCCGGCCAAGGCAAGATGTCTGTCACTGGAACCTGTGGAAAAACAAAGTTAGGCAAAAAAAAGCCAGAACCTTTACTGCCATCACTTCTCATAGACAATACACAGAACATGTTTTACTGGTCCTTAGCTGGCTTGGTATATCGACAATGGGTAAAGAGACTTATAGGAAATCACTGCATTTCTTCTAAACTTTTTAAAAAAATGTGTAGCTAATAACTACGCAGGGAAAGACCACCTTGTGTTTCCTGCCAAGTATAGGCATAAGCCTTCTGTGATTAAAATCTATATAAAACCTAGCAATACATTTCTTATTTTAGCTTCCCTCTGATCTGTTAATTATGGCGTTTTTTGATTTATCTGTTCAGTAGTGTAAAAAATACTTGTTGATCCTCTCAGAATTTCCGTGAGCTCCCAACTTCCATTAGTGAGCTACCAACTCTGCCTCTTCAGCACTGAAATCCCAAGCTGAGTTAGGCCAGATGAGTTCCCTGTGGACCACAGAACACCTCCCACATTTGTAATGGAGATAAGAAGAGGAGGGGGTGTTCTGTAGCCTGAATTTGGAGTGAACAGCCTAAGGTAACAAGACATCATAGATACAGTATGGTGATAAAGCACAGTTACCCCAGGGCACCAAGTGTATTTCTGGCTGGATCACCAGGTGAAAATACAGGAAAACACCTGAAAATTGCAAAGACTACAATATACTTTTTTTTTTTTTTTTTTTAATTTTTAGGTTTAAATAAAATTTTAAAGTTGTAGTAAACGCACCAAAAACCAAAAAATGGGCCTCCTAGCAGTGTAAGTCACAATGTGCTAGTATGCATCGAATACTAGTGCATTATGACACTTACCTGAAAATGAAGCCCTCCAGCGGCACACGGTCACCACTGTAGGCGTTTCCATCTTCACCTGGTCTTCTTCCCGGGTTTGTGCGTTTCGGCCTTATGAATGGTCGAGCCACCGTGACGTCCTAACTGCTTCCCGCCTGCCTGTAATGTACTGTAGATGGGCGGTAGCTGCAGGCAAAGCGAAGTACCCATACGTCGCTCTGCTCTTCCGCGTTTAGAGTGTGCATGGCCCCTCCTCCCCCACGGCTAGCCCACGCTGTCATCCGCTTTAGAAGGTGTATGGGTGTATGTCAGCAGGTCTCGGCCAGTGATTTTGGTTGGGACTCTGCCGATCTCCTACAGCATATGGAGATGCAGAACTGTCCCTAAATACTTGCACAGGATCTAGCTGGTTCTTCTCTCCCTAGAAGCATTTTGTTCGAGAGAGAGAAGAAAGACATTACACGTAAGTAAAAAGCAGCACACTGCACCCACATACGTTAGACATTTTAATCCCCTTGATTGCCATATTTAACACTTTGATTGCCCCCTACCAGTGCCATTAGTACAGTGTCAATGTGCAGTATTTTTTTCACTGATCACTGTATTAGTGCCACTAGTGACGTCAGATAGCATCAGGGTCAGTTAGCGTCCCTCCCAGCTAGGGTCAGCTAGCGTTAGGTTGCCCACACACTATCGCACTCACGCTATAGTTTGCTGATCACCATCATTACTAGTATATATCGCACTCACGTTTTGATCACCGGATACTAGTATAGTGTTTGTACGGATCAATATATTGATCACGAACAAAGCTATACCTGTGCCCCCTTAGTATTAGTGTCCCCAAAAACGCAGTGAAAGCAGAATCATTCCTGTTCACTGCCAGCACAAGTTTTTAGCCCCTCCCCCCCTTCCCCCACTCCTAACAAGAAGTGCAGTGTCAGTGTAATTTCTGATCACTGTCACCTGCAGTGTTCGCAGAATCAGGCCTGATCTCTGCCAGCATTAGCAGGTGAATTTTATTGGTAGCGGTTCAAGCAGTCCCTGACAGCCAGGTGCTCCTTTTTTTTTTTTTTTTTTTTTTTTTTTTTTTTTTTTTTTCTTCCTGTGAGTCACACTAGGTACCTATGAATTTAAAGCCCAAAATGTCCAACGAAAGGTACACTAGTGAAGAGGCCTACATGATTCTGAGCATGTCAGGTGAGAGCGAGGGGGGAAGACTCCCTGACACAATCGGCCTCAGAATACGAACCAGTAGAAAGCAGCAGCACCCTGACAGGTAGCTCAGACGATGGAGAAGAGGTCCGTGTTAAGATCAGGCATACCTGACCCCATGAAGCTAAAGTGCTAGGATTGCATGACTTGTCTCATATGCAGCAGAGTGCCAGTACTAGTGCCGCACTACCTTTTTGGTGAGCTGGTGAGCACCAGCGGTCTAGTATATCCTGGTCTTTTTTTATATACCAGCACTGCAGTATCACTTGGTGATGTGGTGAGTCCCATAAGTGCAGTACAAGCTAGTGCGGTGACAAGCAGCCACCAAGAATTTGCCCGCAGAGCCACTAGTGTCCTTCCGGACGTGCTTGCAAATCCTGATTGGCAGCCCACAGATTCTGCAGCACCCGTACCCCCCCCCCCCCCCCCCCCCCCCCCCCCACCCCCCCCCCACCCACCAACCATTAACTGCCCAACCCAGAATTCAGGTGAAAACTGCAAATTTAAATGCTCCCCTTGATTTTTTGGAGCTGTTTTTTTTCGCAGATTTGTACAATTTGATTGTGGGCCAAAGTAATTTCTATGCTCTACAATATATTGCCGCAAACCCAAATTCAAACCTTACCAGAACATTTGCATGGAAACCCATTACGGTTTCCGAATTTAACATTTTTTGGGCTTGCCCTCAACATGGGCATTACAAAAAAAGAATGAGTTGCGGTCGTATTGGTTCACAGACCCGATTCATCATATGCCCGTGTTCTCTGCTGCCATGGCCAGGCATAGATATGAGACGGTAATGCGCTTCATGCATTTCAGTGATAACGCACTCTGTATTCTTGGGGTGGCCCTGAACATGACAGGCTCTACAAAATTTGACCCCTCATAAACCACCTCACTGAGAAATTTGCAGGTGTGTATACGCCCCAGCAAAATATCTGCGTGGATGAGTCCTTCATTCACTTTACTGGCCGCCTTGCATTCAAACAGTACATCCCCAACAAGTGTGCCAGATATGGGGTCAAATTTGCATAAGCTCTGTGAGAGGGCAACATGCTATATGTGCAAATTTAGGGTTTACGAGGGAAGAGACAGCGATGTAGAGCCCCCAGACTACATGGGGAGCAGTGGCAAGATAGTTTGGGACTTGGTGTCTTCTTTGTTCTGTAAGGGGTACCACATATACGTGGACAATCTCTATACAAGTGTGCCACTATTTAGACATCTGTACAATCTTGGAATTGGCTCATGTGGCACCGTGCGACCTAACCGCCAGGGCTTCCTCCCAACGGCTTGTAAATACCTGATTTAGAAAGCCTGCTTGAGTAATGATGAATTGCTTGCAGTGAAGTGGAAGAATAAATGGGATGTTTTCATCCTGTCTTCCATTCAGACATCCAAAATACCACGGCAGCTGGCGTTGTTGAGAAACCCCTCTGTCCACGACTAGAACTTTAACATGGGAGGGGTGGACTTCAACGACTAAATGATAAATCTGTACCTAATTTCCCAGAAAGCTCGACACTGGTACAAAAAGGTCTTTTTATTTCAATTGGCTATATATAACGCTTTTGTAATTTACAAATCAACTGGACCAAGTGGATCCTTCCTAAAATTTCAGGAAGAGATCATCACGGCCCTTTTGTATCCAGAAGGTGCTGTCAGTTCTCAAATCCAGATGCAGTTAGCTGGCTGCATGAGAGGCATTTTCCGGATGTCCTCTCTGGTATCTCAACCCAAAGGTCACCTCAAAGCAGATGTGTCTGTAGCAAACATGGAATTCCTTGGGGTGTCTACTGTCCAAAAAGGGGTCATTTGGGGGGTGTTAGTGCTATCCTGGCATTTCAGAACCTCTGAAACTGTGATGGGTAGTGAGGAAGTGTAATGAGGAAGTTGCGCACTTTCAGGCTTTCAAAGTGGTCATTGGATTTCAGGCTCCTGTATGTGGCTAGGCTCCCAAAAAGTCTCACACATGTGGTATCCTCATACTCAGTAGAAGTAGCAGAATGTATTTTGGGGTGTAATTCCACATATACCCAATGGCTTGTGTGAGCAATATATCATTTAACTGACTTTTTTTTTTTTTTTTTCCCAGAAAAAGGTTTGTCATTTTTTTCCAAAAACTTGTGGAAAAAAAAAATAAATCTTCCATGGACTCAACATGTCTCTCAGCAGATAGCTTAGGCTGTCTACTTTCCAAAAAGGGGTCATTTGGGGGTGTTTGTACTGTCCTGGTATTTTAGCACCTCAAGAAATGTGATAGGCAGTCAGAAAGTAAAAGCTCTGTAAATTCTATTATCTATACCAGGGGTGGGCAAACTTTTTGACTTGAGGGCCGCAATGGGTTCATATATTGGACCCGGGGGCCGGACCAAGAGTAGATGAATGATATGTATGTGTGAATTAATATAAATTAAATTAAAATTTGTAACATTAAATGTTTAGATTATTTTATGGTAGAAAAGCATAAAAAGTTATTTTACAAAACTTTTATGCCCCCCACTAGCTGCTGGCCAGCCCAGCCACTACCATGCCATCCATAGTAAGTATAGTAATATTCCCCCATAGTAAGCATAGTAATTCATCCCCCCTATAGTAATTCATCCCCCATATTAATTCATCCCTCATATAGTATTTCATCCCCCATAGTACTATTCCCCCCCAAGTAGTAAGCCAAGTCCCCCCTGTGTCAATTTACTTACCTTTGCTCCGCGCGTTCCTCTCGCCGTGTTCCCGCGCTGTTCCGGTCTTCAGGGCGGACTGTGAGAGGAGCCTAGCTCCCCTCACGTTCGTCACGCTGCCCCCCGCCTACACACATCCTGACAGCCAATGTTTACCTGCCCTGTTTTTTTTTTATCACGCTCCGCGGGCCGGATTAAAAGGTCCGCCGGGCCGTAGTTTGCCCATTGCTGATCTATACCATAGTTTGTAGATGCTATAACTTTCACACTAAGCAATCAATATACAGGTATTAGGTTTTTTTTACCAAAGACATGCAGCAAAATACATTTTGGCTTAAATTTATGACAAAATTTGAGTGTTTTGAATGGTTTTTATGACCAAAATGAGGAAAAAAAAAAAAAAAATATAATTTTCGGTCATTTTTTGTTTATAGCGCAAAAAATAAAAATGAGCAGGTAATCAAATACCACCAAAAGAAAGCTGTATTTATGTGAAAATAGGACTTACATTTTATTCATGTACAGTATTGCATGACCGCGTAATTGTGCAGCGCTGTATAGCAAAAAATGGCATAAATTGCAGTATCTATACCTTAGATTGTAGACGCTATAACTTTCACACAAAGCAATCAATATACACTTTATTGGGATTTTTTTTTCTACCAAAAACGTAGCAGAATACATTTTGGCCTAAATGTATTACTAACTTTGAAGTTACTATATATTTTTTATAGCTGAAAGTGAAAAAAAATGTTTTAAAACATTTTCGGTCTTTTTTGTTTATAGCACAAAAAATTAAAAAACCACACAGGTGATCAAATACCACCAAAAGAAAGCTCTATTTGTGTGGAAAAAAAAGTATGGAGTGTTGCATGACTGTGCAATTGTCAGTTAAAGTAACACAGCGCCGAATAGCAAAAAGAGGCCTGGTCAGGAAGGAGGGTAAATTCTCAGGAGGGCAAGTGGTTAATATAGGCTTAGCTATAGGCAAAATTTCAAAGGCGTTGCTCTACTACCACTACTGTACATTTGGCATTGGTTACTGCACCTAGCACTAATATCCTGCACTGCATTTAGTACTTTTAAATTATGTAACACAGAATAGATATGGATCAGGAGACAATATTGTGGCTCATTACCACCAAAGTTCTGCAGTTCTTGGACTTTGTAACAAAAGCTGCCAATTGCAGTTTTGAATAAAAAAGCAACAGTTACAATTGCCATATCATGTTTTTAAAACCTGGCACCTATTTGTATGAATAAGTCACTAGCTGACTCCATAACTTGCATAATTCATGTGCGTCAGGCTTAGTGGGATGTGATGGCAACCCAAAAGTCCGCACTGGGCTGAAGAAATAAAAAGAATCACTCGACTCTGTTGTAGACATCTGTATACACACTCGGACACCCCGTTTTGCATCTAAATTGAGTGTAAACCCTCAAGCACCTTTCACACCCCAGGTCCTATAAGGTCCACCTGTCAGTTTTTGAGGTCGACCTGATCAGATGGTATATTCATCCCTATGCACAGGCAGATCTAGACAAACTTGTCAGTTTTACACCCACTTATCTCCTGGTCTGCTACTGTCTGCTGAAACAACCCTGTTCTGTTTAGGTGGATCAGAGCGGAGGGTGTAAACTGACAGCGGAGTCCATTTACACCTGGCCACCTGTAGAGCAGAGCGGGTTCTGTCCCTGGCCACTCTGCATAAACTGAGTGGTCACGGATGTCTCATCCACCCGCTTTGCTCTGATTGGCAGGGGATCTGTGAGCGGATCCCATGCTGATTGGGGTGGAGTCCAACCCTTCTGAAAGGGGCCTTGGACTATTTTTCAGTATGTAAGTAACAGCTTGCTGTGCGCTCTCCCATAGTTGGCTGTAAGGTTTTCTGAGGCCTGAAAGGTGTATATGCAGACCAACTGCTAACTAACTGTGCACAGCAGGCTGACAATGTTGTTGGTAATTGCTGTAGCTTAGAGGTGTCTGCTTAAAACAGGAAGTGCTGTTACTGGCAGGATCCAGAAAAATAACTTTTTCAACAGAGTGACCAAAAAAATTTAACGAGGAATTCCAGGTATGGTATATTTTTACCTAGTTACATTGATCCAGTTTGAACCAATGTAACCATGTATAGACCATACTAGTCTGATGCCTCTGGAAGCTGGAAATCACTGAAGTAGACACCGCTACTCCAGTGATCTCCATGTGCTTCTAGGTCCCATGCTGAGCGGCTGGCCTGATGCACTCTGAACACAGCAGGTTGGCTATTTAGCATAGGTGCCATGCAGAGAATGCATTGCATTTTCTGAATAAATTATTATTATACAGTATTTATATAGCGCCAACAGTTTGCTTAGCTTTGTACATTACAAATACAAATTGTTCTCTGGACAGGTGGAGAAGCGAGGCAGTGCCATCATGCTCTCCACCTCGTCTAATCAAAGAATGCTTTGCCTTCATTCAGAAAATGAAAAACATTCTGTGAATGGCGACCATGCCGGCAGCGTACCCCCTGTGTTCAGATGGCAGCAGACGAGCTGCTTGACACAGGACCATGAAGCAAGTGGAGATCACCGGAGTAGTGGTGTCTACTTCAAATGGAGTTCCAGCTGAAAAAAAGCCAGCAGCTACAAAACAGTAGCTGCTGACTTTTAAAATACAGCCACTTACCTGTATCTCGGTCCAGCGGTGTCCTCACCACCGCTGGTTTCACTGGCCATCTTCTCTCCCTGGCGCCGACATCTTTAGTGTGGGCACCTGGCTGTGGCAGCTTGCTGCTTCACATCCGGGGGCCCACTGCGTATACGCGAGAAGCGCTGTGCTTTGTGAATGGCCCCGTAGTCTTCTGGGACCTGTCACGTGTCCCAGAAGACCACGGGGAGGGAGGACAACTTCTGTTTCTGATCACCTAGGCGATTGCAGCGGAAGTGGGAGCGGGTACCTGTCAAATTCGGGTCCCCACCCCCGCTCTCCAAAGGTGCCAGTTCTTAATGGAGAGCGGGGGGACAAAGCATTAAAGCGGATCTTCCCCTTTTGGGTGGAACTCCGTTTTCACTTCTTTCCAAATTCAAGGGGCATCAGCCAGGATTTAAATGCACTACAAGTATGGCCTCTGTATCACACCTCACACTGTGCAGTAACACAATGAACCTCTTGTAATCAGGCAGTCTCTTGAATCTCGCAGTGACAGAAATGAAATCAGATGTGGTAGAAGTAACGTCGTGAGTACAGACTTATCCAGCCTTGTTCAGAATACCAATGGTTTTCAGATGCATACTGTTGGACTGCAGATGCAGAACCACATACATCTCTACTTTGCACATCATTTCTGTTTGTTGTGCGTTACTGAAGAATTGAGATCATGTACCATGGCTAGATTTAAGTGTATCTAAACCTAAAATAAACAATAATATATTACCACTTTCTTTTCTCTAGATGTGATGGCTGCATTAGTTATATATTCATGTTTTTTCCCTAACACACTTCCTTTCCTAGGATGAGCACATTGTCATTGGACTACAACACACACACACACACACACACACACACACACACACACTTTTCCATACCATTGGGGGAGGTTCTGTAGTCCTAACAAACTTCCTGAAAATATTGTTTGAGAACACTTTAATAGGCTTAAAGGAAGCAAATGTGAGAACTTTGTTTGCAGTTTACATATACTTTAATGCATTTTCTTTCTTCCCAGGGTTACACATATACTTAACGTCACCCGAGAAATCGACAACTTCTTTCCTGAAACGTTTAAATATCTAAATATTCGAGTTTTAGATGAAGAGAGCACCAACCTTCTACCATATTGGAAAGAGACCCATATCTTTATTTCCACTGCTAAGTAAGTCAAATATTCATGCAAACAAAGGTACTTTTAACTCTTTTGCTGCCACAGACAAGAGAAATAGGGTGGTCAGTAACTATGTACTTATAGTGGCACTATCCCCCAGATGCTGCTGAATAAAAGAATAGCTGATCAGTGGCTGACAAGCCACTGATTGCAGCCATTCATGAAAAATGTGAACCTCTCCGCCAATACTGCAAGACCCTTCGCTAGGCCAAAAATGGACATTCCTCTCTTCCACACCCCCCCCCCAACTGAGTTGAACCTCTTATACTTTACTAAACCCCCAGCCCCAATAGTAGTAAAAGCACTTTAATTTAAAAATACAACATGGCGACCTGTTGCCATGCATTGTAGTGTGCTTAAAAAAAAAAAAGGGGGGGGGGTGCAAGAACCTTTGGGCACAATTTATGTGCATTGCTTCGAACCTTGCTGCTGCCTCCCAAGGCCCCTTTAGTGTGTGCCAAGTAGCTGGAGGCAGAGGTGGGCTTCCTGATCACATGACCAGAAGCTGCTGACCATGAGCAATGATGAGGAACTGTCCATGGCAGCTCAGTCACTGGGCTGGGGGCACGCAGTAAGTGCACTCTTAGCATTGAATAGCAGTACCCCATGGACACACGTGCTTGGCTCAACGTTAATGCCTACGCATCCTTCCACCGCATACTATAAATACCCCCCCCACACACACACACACACACACACACACACACCCACACCAAACTCTGGTAATGGATGCCTAAATCATTTTATTGCAACACACAGCAATGCAGAACACACATGGCAATGCAGGTTTGAAGTGTCATAGGCACATAGGTGTGCAATGCCCACCTTTCAGATTTATAGTGTTGTCTAGTTACAGTTTTGCATACATTCAATTTTCACAATTTTGCAGAAAAGACAATTCAAAATGTACAAATCATTATTTCATAACTAAACACAGTTTTATAAATGGTGAATACTTGTGAGCTATTATGAGATGAGGTGTTCAGTGGGTAATGTAAAGTGTAATCTTCTTATATGATGTGTAAGGTGCGCTGGCACTTGCACTGACTCACTTGCTAGTGTATATATAATATTATAGATAGATAGTGCCGCGCTCCTATATATTAATGTGCATAACTCTTATTTCTGAAGGTGCTTTTAGATGATAATCCAAAATAATACATATATAAACTACAATATAGATAGCAATTATGAATTGTTGATGAATCACTATACCTAGTGACTTAAACAGTTATTATGAATTTCAAAGAAGCCTTCATGCAGGTGACTAATGACTATCAGTCCTAAAGTTATTGTGACTTGAGAGGTACAATTAAATACAGATCCATACAATCTAAATTAGTGCACCTCTGTTCTACTGTGATCACTCTATTCACATTGTGCAAAAACATATAAAAATATATAAAATTGTGCACGTGCATAAAATAAGTATATATAAAGTCTTTCAAAGTAAAGTGTGCAGGTGAATTCCTTGTTTCCTCTCGCCGAGTGCTTAATGGTCTCCCTATGTGCTCACCTCTATATTTGCCTGAATAAATCCAGGCAAATACGCTTTTTATCCTTCCAGGATAGATGGGATAGGATGATACTCTTGTACTAGTTGTCCCAGAAGATAGATGTAGATTTAAATGGGTTCTCCTGTTCTCTCCTTTATCCCCTTGTCCAGCTGCTCATGGATGGATATCCTGACCAGCTCTCTGAGGATCACCCAGATCCCCTGCTGGGGTTGTCTCCTTCTCCAATCCTCCTTATACCAGTTCGGGGGGTGTTGGTCAATTGAAAAAGGGAAGAAAACAGACCATGGTGCCTTATCTTTGTGCATAAAGGAGATTTATTGCTGCCAATTAAGGTGTTGCACAATGGTATACAGCTCTTTTGTAATCCAGGTCAGCATAGATGACAATCTACAGAAATACTCTGCCTCTGCAGTGCTGTCTGCCTCCGTCTGTACTACGATCACCGAGCCTCTCCAATGCAACGTCGTGACGTCAGAGCCCCTCCCCTACGCGTTGCGTCACAGGGTCACGTGACTTCATCAGGGGGAAATGATTGGATGCCACGACTATGCTTTTCCACCTATTTATATCTCTCGGCCGCCATTCTCCTGAAGCCCATACGGGCGCGGCCATTTTCCCAGTGATTTCCTTTAGCTGTGTATAGGGCGAGTGTTTGTACATGTGTGTCCACTCGAGAATTACGTGATATCTGTCTGTCAGACGTTGCTAATTGGATCAGCTGTGTTACATCCCTTATAATGCAGTTTATATATCATGGCACATGGCTATACCTTATATTGCTAAATATATACCTATTGGCAGACTAACTAAAAATCTATAAACACTCTTTATTAAAAATAAAATATTAAAACAATTAAAAAATTAAGAATAAAATTAAAAAATGAATATATGCTATTCCATAAAGAAAACTATTTCATGGCCAGCATACATATCATTATTTGCCTAATACTATCAGTTATCGTAATGTACTATATATCTTACATCTTTTTATATTTTTATGGATCCTATTTTTATAAATAGAAGGATGTTAAATGTAAATGTGATTGATTATTAAAAATGTATACGCTCTATAAGAGTGTATTATTATGCTCTCATTCTACTTTGAACCTACTAAAAAGGCCCAAAAAATAGAACTGAACAAATAACGGGTACGTATATTTCATAAATCCCCAATCTATAAATAATTAGTGGGCCTCAAAGTATGGTTGTGTGCTATCTCCATACTTATTTGTTGCTGATAAAGCATGCAAGGTCAAACTCCTTGTTTAACCCATTAGGAGCCAGACAACCCATTTCATAGATCCACTTCGATTCCTTCTTACTAATTTCCCTTATTAGGTTGTCACCCCTCCAGTGTTGTACATGTTTCTCTATACCCCAGAACTCTAGTTTTCTTGCATCTTTGTTATGGTATTTCTTAAAGTGCTGTGACAAATGATGATATTTGTATCCCCTATTTATATTATAAACATGTTCTTTTATTCTTTCCCTTAGCATCCTTTTCGTAATACCAATGTAAATTAAATTACATGGGCATTTTAGGGCATAAACAACCCCTCTTGTATCACATGATATAAATTGCTGGATAGTATAATCTTTTCCACTTAGGGGATTCTGAAATGTGAATCTTCTCCTAGGGTTGTTTATCAATCTGATGCAACTGTAGCATCTACCACAGGTATAAAACCCTTTTCCCTGAAAAAAGCTTATTTGATGATTTTTGACAGGTGGTGCTATTATGCTCTTAACAACCTTATCCCTAATATTGGGAGCTTTTTTTTATATATAAACCTTGGTATTGTTGGAATATTATTTTTCAGGTGCTTATCTAATGTTAAGATCTTCCAATGTTTCTTTATTATATTTTGTATTGATTTATACTGGGTGTTGTAGTGCAACACTACTGTTAGTTCTTCCTTTCCAGTATTCTCTTTTTGCTTATCTGCTATCAATACATTGCGATCCATAAAGCCTACTTGTTCCCTTTCTTTATGTATTATTTCTTTTTTATATCCTTTATTGATGAATCTTTCTGATATTATTCCACTTTGTTCTACATAGTCCTTCATCTTTGTACAGTTCCTTTTTAGTCTAATAAATTGGCCTCTGGGGATATTTGTTAACCACGCTTTATGATGGCAGCTGTCTATGGGGATATATGAATTTCTATCAACTGATTTGAAATGATTTTTGGTGTATAGTTGTAATCCCTCTTTGCAGATTTGAATATCTAGAAAGTTGATAGAGGTTTCATGTATGTCATAGCTTAATTTTATATTAGCTTCATTCCTATTTAGATCATCATAAAATTTCTTGAGTTCTACTTTTTCACCATTCCATATCACTAATAGGTCATCAATATACCTTTTATATATTATTATTTCTGTACTCTTATTCTGAAACACTGATTCATCTTCCCATTTTGCCATATAAAGATTAGCAATGCTAGGGGCGAATTTAGCGCCCATAGCGACTCCTCTTTTTTGGGAATAGTATGTATTGCCATACCAAAAATAATTGTGAGTAAGACAGAATTTTAAACATTTTATGATGAATTTATTATGTCTAGTGGTGTTATTCCCGTGGTGTTATTCCCGTATACAAAGGGATACAAAACATGTGATACAGGAAATGAAGGATATACTAATAGATAAAAACACGCTTTTGAGTACAGCAGATGTAGTAGCACTGTACACTAACATAGACCATCAGGGGGCCATAGAAGCAGCCAAATGGGCACTTAGCAAATACGGGAATAACACCACTAGACATAATAAATTCATCATAAAATGTTTAAAATTCTGTCTTACTCACAATTATTTTTGGTATGGCAATACATACTATTCCCAAAAAAGAGGAGTCGCTATGGGCGCTAAATTCGCCCCTAGCATCGCTAATCTTTATATGGAAAAATGGGAAGATGAATCAGTGTTTCAGAATAAGAGTACAGGAATAATAATATATAAAAGGTATATTGATGACCTATTAGTGATATGGAATGGTGAAAAAGTAGAACTCAAGAAATTTTATGATGATCTAAATAGGAATGAAGCTAATATAAAATTAAGCTATGACATACATGAAACCTCTATCAACTTTCTAGATATTCAAATCTGCAAAGAGGGATTACAACTATACACCAAAAATCATTTCAAATCAATTGATAGAAATTCATATATCCCCATAGACCGCTGCCATCATAAAGCGTGGTTAACAAATATCCCCAGAGGCCAATTTATTAGACTAAAAAGGAACTGTACAAAGATGAAGGACTATGTAGAACAAAGTGGAATAATATCAGAAAGATTCATCAATAAAGGATATAAAAAAGAAATAATACATAAAGAAAGGGAACAAGTAGGCTTTATGGATCGCAATGTATTGATAGCAGATAAGCAAAAAGAGAATACTGGAAAGGAAGAACTAACAGTAGTGTTGCACTACAACACCCAGTATAAATCAATACAAAATATA